TAAGAAGAAGAAGAAGAAGAAGAAGAAGAAGAAGAAGAAGAAGAAGAAGAAGAAGAGGAGGAGGAGGAGGAGGAGGAGGAGGAGGAGGAGGAGGAGGAGGCCCTCTCTCGAGGCGGCGGAGCTTCTCGGAAGGCCTCCGACCTTCTGAGAGTTTGTCTGCGTCTTCGGGAAAGGCTCAGACAACTTCTCAGGAGGCTTGGGGACTTCCGAGCCTTCTGAGAAGGCCCGCCCTTTCTCACTTCCCCCCTCACTCGCCGCCGATGTGAGGACGGGATGTAGGAGCGACAGGCGGAGGAGGACGATTGTCCAGAGAGTGCTTCCGTAGATCTTCTTCTAAGCTCTCGCCGCACTGGCTGGCGGCCCACTGGCACCTAGACTCGCGCTGGCCGGTGCTGGCCAGCGCAGTCCCGATCGCCTCGGCCTCGTTCCCACTTGAGGGTCGCGCCTACGTCTCGTTCAGCGAGCGCGTTCCACTACTCGCAAATTTCATCAAAAACGAGCGTTGCTCGATGCAGTGAAGCCTGTTTGCCTCGACGCAACGGATCCAGTCCATTTGCGAGTAGCTGCTTTGCGAGTAGTGGAACGCGCTTGTTCACTCGTGCCTTACCTGCACGCTGCTCGAGTCAGCTACGCCGAACACATGGCAGTTGTATCGGAGATGCAGCGCTGACTCAAGATCGACGTTCCCTCAGGACAGGGCTGCACGGCGGGATGGGGGCAGGAGGGGCCCACACGGCGCGGTGCGGTGGGGGACTGGACTGCGCGAGTGGCGGTTCCAGGGCAAGTGGGGGAGCAGGAGCTGGCCTTCGGACGAGGTGGCTTGGTGTGTGTGTGTGTGTGTATGTGTGTGTGTGTGTCCTAGTCGCGCACGTGCGTTCGTTGGTTTACTACCTTCTCCGCCCTGTCGCCGCGCGCAGGGCGGCGACGCCAAGTGTGTGCGTGTGTGTGTGTGTGCTCCGTTCGGGTACGTGGCGCGGCTGATCTGTTCCCCCCGAACACTGGCTACCAAGGCGGAGCAGTCCGGTGTGTGGGAGGTGTTCTGCAGGCGTATCTATTTGCTTTGCCTGTAAGGGGCTTCGTGGGGCATGCCTGTCGATCCGCACCACTTCCCCGCACGGTGTGGCGAAGTGGGTCACTGCCAAAGAGGTTGCACACATCGGATGGAGTCAGCTCTTCTACGAGGCTGCTCGCAGCATGCTGGTGCGACCATGCGTGGACTGCGGCCTCGCTACGACGGCGGGTTGCAAGGGTTACCTGGCTATGTGGAGGATCCCTCGGGAGGAATGGGCGCCTGGGCAAAGCGCTCCGTTCTGCGTCCTGTGTACTGCGACGGAAAGTGAGTGCCACTTTTGCCGTGGCCCGCTGCGCTTCCGCCCCCACCCCCCACCCATCTGCAGGCCGTTGCGTAGGGATGCGAGGCTGACAGGGAACACCGGGGCGACATTGTGCTACGGTCGGGAGCACGAGCTCCTTCTGAGGCCCGGCTTGGCTCACACCTACTCGGGGGAAGGACGTGTTTTGATGGTTCCAACCTGCCCGCGCCCATCCGCTTTGGCTGAGGAGCCGGCCGTCGGGGCGCTCTGTTCCGTCTGGACGTCGCTGCTTTTGCTCGCTCTCCCGCCCCTGCTCCCTTGCTCCTCCTCTTTTTCTTGGGAGGCGCCTGTGCATTTTCTCTTAAAGTGTCATTGAGTCCTTTGCTCGGTAACTTCGCTGGCAACACTCGGTGCACACCACCCATGCGGCTTAGTCGCCTTTGGTGCCCCGCTCTCTTTTGCGCCCCGTCCGCGTGACGCGTGTCATGTCCCATGCGTCACTTGGTGCGGTCAGTGCTTTTGCTGGCACCGCCGCTTTCGGCGGCCCCCCGCAGTCGGCTCGGCCCGCTGACACCCCACCAGCTGTATTGGCTCAGCTGCCCGGGCTTCGGCACGGTCGGCTGGCTGTCCTCTTTTCCGTCGTGCCGTTGGCACGACCGCGCGTCTCCTCGCGCTGTCCCGGGTTCCCGCTTCTCCACTCCCCCCCTTATGGCCGCTGTCCCGGCGGTGACGCCCGCGGCTCAGCTAGCTTTGTACATTACCCATGCGGCTTAGCCACCGTTCGTATTTTTTGTTGTGTGCCTCGCCTTGGGCGGCTTGCGGGGGCCCCCGTGGTCGTGTGGAGCGTTCGGCTTTTTCTGCGACTTTGCCGCCTTGGGCGTCGTCGCGCGTCTCTTTCTGTGCCACTTCTGGCACTGCCGCCATCTCCTGACCCCCTTGCCGAGCCGCGAGGTTGCCGTGGATCGGCGACGGCAGCGGCCACCTTGCCCCCCCACCGCAGGAGGCCATGGTTCCCGTCTTCTTTTTGGGCCCTCTGGCCGGCCGCGCTGCGGGGGGCCTGGGCCTGGGGTTGGTGCTCGTGGGGCGCGGGGATGCTGCGCCCCTCGCAGGCTCTGTCGCTGGAGGGCTGCGGCTGCCACTGTTGCGGGGCTCCTTGCTGGCGTTCGGCTGGCCAACGATCCCGGCGGGCGGTCGCTGCGTGTGCGCTGTGGGTGGACACGTCGCCCACGGCTGTCTTGCCGTGCCGGCACGGCCGCGCGGCTCCTCGCGCCTTTGTGTTCTCGCTTCTTTTTCCTCCTCCTCCGCCTCCTCCTCCTTCCTCCTCCCTCCTCCTCCTCCTCCTCCTCCTCCTCCTCCTCCTCCTCCTCTCCTCACTCCTCCTCCCTCTCTCCTCCTCCCTCCTCCTCCTCCCTCCTCCTCCTCTCCTCCTCCTCCTCCTCCTCCTCTCCTCCTCTCCTCCCCCTCCTCCTCCTCCCCCTCCTCCCTTTGGTTGCGGTTGCGGTTGTCTGGCTGGGTGGCCAACCCGCCGCGTTCGGGTACCCGTGCAGCAGCACGGTGTTGTGACCCTGCGCACTTTGTCTTACAATCTTGGGTATTGACACATGCTTTGACTGCTGGCAGGTTGCACGCCCAATGAGATTCTCGCACTGCAGTGGTTACGCAGTCTATGCGCGCTGCGGTTGACGCTGCCGCGCTGCGGCTCCCACCCATCTCGTTCCCTTGCGGCGCTGGTCCGAAACGTTCCACCCCACCCATCAGTTTCGGTGGCCAGATTTGGACACTTTACCAATTTGCTTTGCACCTTTATTGCTCCACTGTCTAACACCCTTGTTTTGATTCAGTGACCGCAGTTAGCCGTTGGCTCTCGCGCAACAGTTGACACTGAGTCGAGTCATCTCCTCGTTTTCTGGCCGCTGCACGTTTCTCTTAGGCTTACAGTTCCTATTTCACACCCATTCATTGTATGCTGCGGTGATGCTGTTTGTGCGCCGCGCTATCGACAACGCCGCAATTCGAACATCTGTCAGCTGCTCGCGCTTGGGGATCCTCTGCGCCGCCGACTTGAAAGTGTGCCCTTCGTCCCCCTCTGCGGTGCCTCAGCTGGTTCCCGGCGCGGCCCGTCCGTCGCCCGACCGGCGCTTGCACCAGCTTCGGTTCGCGTGCGCCCGCTGGCTCCAGGAGTGTGTGTGTGTGTGTGTGTGCCTTGAAGCTCGCTGAGGGGCAGCGAACGCGATCTGTGTTTCTGGGGCGACGGGGGAGAGGGCAATGCTTCTGTAGGGCAAGAGCAAGCGTGAGCAGCCCCATCGTCGGCAAGAGCAGACCTGAGATCAGAGCTCCTCGCGAAGGGCGGCCGGAAGGATTGCTGTTGACCCAGATCAAGCGCGCCCGCCGAGCGCACGGGGATTTGGCCCTGGAAACGACGCTGCCCCCCCAGCGACCTTCAGTGTGTGCCCGCGCTTCTCATGGCCGCGCCGGCAGCACTCGGTGCCTGGCCAGCCACCGCCGCCGCGGCCCTCGGCGGCCTCGCGGCCCTGCTCGCTCTCCTGGGGGCCTGCGCGCCGTGCGGCGCCTGGCGCCGGCGCCGCCGCGCGGCCCGCGCGGCCGCCGAGGTCGAGCTCACGGAGGACGGAGGGCCCAGACCTCCGGGCGTCGCGGGCAAGCGTCGCGGCGGGTGCTTCTCGGCCACGCCGGCCTCCTCCTCCTCCTCCTCCTCCTCCTCCTCCTCCTCCTCCTCCCTGGGGCCGTTCTCTCTGGCCCCGGGGCCTTCCCGCAACGGTCCGCAGCGGAGAGCCGGCCCCAGGGGCACGGTGGAAGGAGCCCCGGGGGCCCACGCGGCGGAGGTCTGGGGAGGACGAAGGGGCCAGTGCCTCGCGCTGGCTGCGCCCGCTGCAGGTGTCGCAGGAGGACGTGGCGCGGATCAGGGCTGCGCCGCAGCGCAGCAGCACTGGCCGGGCCTCCGCGGACTGGCTGCGCTCCCGGCGGCACCGCCTCACGGCCTCCCGGTTTTACAAGGCGCTGGAGGCTGTCTCCGGGGAGTGCCTGCCTGGCGACGCGAGGCTGTGCCGCGAGCAGCTCATCGAGGACATGCTCGTGCAGCCAGAGGCGCTGAGGAGCCCCAAGCGGTTCGGGCTTGCCAACGAGGCACGGGCTCGGCAGTCTTACATCGGGTACCGCGTGCACGGGCAAGACGAGGGTTTCCGGAAGGCCTTCCGCGTCGAGGAGATTGGGCTCTGCGTTTGGCAGGAGGAGCCTTGGCTTGCGGCTTCTCCGGACGGCGTTGTCTCGGAGTGCGGCAGCGTTGGCGCGCTCGAGATCAAGTGCTGCAAGAGCGCGTCCCACATGTACAGCGTGGATAACATCCCGCGCCAATTTTATGACCAGATGCAGGGCGAGATGGTCATCCTCAGTATCGTTTAGCCGATCCCCGTCCCCATTGGGCCCTGGTGTCTCCGCCCCACCATCCCGCTCCCAGAGTTGGGGATAGGCCGCGCGAAGCCTGAAGGGAACAGCGTAGGCCAGGCCAGTGAGGATAGGGATCGGTGGGACGATGCTCACTTCCTCTCCTCGGCGCTCGGGAGCCCCGTGCGATGGTGCGACTTCTGGGTCTGGAGCCCAAGCCGAAGCCGCTGCGCGCGCGTGTGGCTCGACCGTGACTACTTCTTCGGCCGCGTGCTGCCGCGGCTGCGGGCCTTCTATTTTTGTAAGGTGGATCTGAGGCAAAGGGTTGAACCAATGGTGAAATACTGTCGAACTCTATTTGAATGTCTTTCGAACTTTAGGTACTCTCTTTTTGTGCAGTGTTCATTTGTTTATGCACTTTATGTGAACTGTCCGAATCCATTTTCCAGCCAATTGTGATCATGTTTGAGCTTTATTTGAACTTTCTTAGTAACCCTCCTGTAAATTTGGTAATCGCTTTGAATTTGCAGTGCCGCGTGTCTCATTCCTTCTCCTCCTGCTCCTCCTCCTTCTCCCCTCCCTCCTCCCTCCTCCCTCCTCTCTCCTCCCTCCTTCTTTCTCTCCTCCTTCCTTCTCTTCCTCATTCCCTTCTTTCCTGTTCCCATCGCTGCCGCTCCTGCTGCTCTCGCTGCACTCATCTCGTCACGCCCTTCACTCGGTTCCTGCCTCCACAGGGAGCTCCAGCTGCGGCCCTCAGCGCGCGTGCTCGCAGGGCGTTCCCGCGCCCACGTCGGCACGCCCCTCACACGCTGCGCGGCCCACAGGAAGCTGCACCTCTGGCCCTCAGTGGGCGTGCTCGCATGGAGTCCCCGCGCCCATTTCGGCACACCCCTCACTCGTTTCGCGGCCCATCGGGAGCTCCGCCTGTGGCCCCCAGCGCGCGTGCTCGCATGGCGTGCGCCCACTTCGGAACACCTCTGGTGCACTTCGCTGCCCGCAGGCCCACAGGCAGCTGCGCCCGTGGCCCCAGCGCGCGTGCTCGCATGGCGTCCCCGCGCCCACCTCGGCATGCGCGCCACACTCTCTCGTGGTCTTCACGGGGAGCTCCACTTCTGGCTCCGGCGGGCGCGCGCTGGCCTCCCCGCGCCCACTTCGACGCACCGTGCGCACGTTTCGCGGCCCGCAGGGAGCTCAGCATGTGGCCTCACCGGGCGTCATCGCATGGCCCTTCCGCGCCCATGTCGGCATGCCCTTCACGCGCTTCGTGCTCCACAGGGCGCTCCGCCTGCGCCCTCCGTGGGCGTTCTCGCATGCTGCCTCCCGCGCCCCGTCTCGGCACGCCCCTCACGCGATTCGTGCCCGGCGGGGAGCTCCGCCCTGTGGCCCCAGCGGGCGTGCCCGCGCGGCGTCCCCGAGCCCACTTCGGCATTCCCCCTTCGCACGTTTCGTGCTCGGCAGGGAGCTCCACCTGTGGCCTCAGGACGTGCTCGCAGGGCGTTCCCCGGGCCCATGTCGGCACACCCCTTCCTGTCTCTAAGTTTCCAGCTGCACTTCGCTCAGATAGGGTCGGGCCCTTCGCCGGGCCAGCTGGCACTTATTTCAACCCTCTACCTCAGAGTCCACGTTGCAATTCCATTTCCGCTGCTACGTGCCAGTCGCGCGCGGCGTTGCCCTGGGCGCCTCGGGAAGCGGTCTGCGGAATGGGGCGAGGCGATTAGCAAGGGCGTGCGAGAAGAAGCGCTTGGCTTCGCACGGTAAGCGCGACTGAGTCATGAAGGTGTGAGTCCTGTACTTCCGATCTTCAAGAGAGGATGTGTCAGCACCATGCGCAGTCTGGCTCTGGCTGCTGGTCCTCGCTAGTTGCTGGTTGAAGGTGCGGCAGAGAACACGGAGGACGAGAGCGAGGTTGTGCATGACATCTTGCATGCGTACCATTCGGAGCAACGCGGCTAGATACGGCTAGATGTGCCTCGAATCAAATCTAAGTTCTTTTGCCTGGGTCTGGCAGCTCAACGCCTTGTACCAGACCAAACAGACGCAGGGACTGATGAACCTATTATGATTCTGGCTCAGTGCCATCGTTCTCAGCTGTGCTTGGCAAGCTTTCGGGGACGCGGACGAGGGGGTACATGGTTCCCCAGGCCAAGAGACAGGCAAGGCGGAGTAGGTGGCGCTGGCGATTGTAATTCACCATGGGCAGGGATTCTGCCTTTTATGTCATCATTGAGTTGTACTTGCTCTTAGGCATCTCGTACTCGTCCGAGAATCTGACGATCGATAAATCTGGCCTTGATTGCACGACGATCGCATATGACAATTCGGAGCAAAGGCATGCAGACGGGTTCAGTGGCGCACGGCATGCTTGCCTGGACCCAAAGCTTCACCAGTCGGAAGGCCGAGTGAACCTCGTCTCCCCAGACCTCCGACGTACTGTCTTTTTTTCACTGCGCGAGCCCATGGAGTTCTCGACACCTTTTTTCCCAACCATCCTGTGGTGTTGCCTCCTCGTTTTGAGGAGAGACGGTCCCCGCGTTCTCCTCCACTCGTGCCCTCTCCCTCCTCCCTACCGTCCGCATGCGTCCCGCACACCCAGTACAGCGTTTCGTGGCCCCATAGGGAGTGCTACCGTCCGCATGCGTCCCGCACACCCAGTACAGCGTTTCGTGGCCCTCCTCCCCCTCCCTGCGTTTCACCCGCCCAGTACAGCGTTTCGTGGCCCCATAGGGAGCCCCACCGAAGGTCCCAGTGCTACCGTCCGCATGCGTCCCGCACACCCAGTACAGCGTTTCGTGGCCCCATACATCGGCCCAATGAAAGTTCCTTGAATTTTCATCACGACGCTGGCCCGCGGAAGTCGACGGAAGTAAAACGAGGCGGAAGACGGGGGAAGGCCGCTGGAAGGCTTGCCAATGTCAGCGGAATTAAACGACGCCCCTTCCGAACCCCCTACCCCCCGTAGAAGCCTAGCAATGTTGTCTTCCTCCGTGGGCCGGGCGGGATCCCGCCTGGCTTATTCCGCTTTAATATTATAAGTTTAGTTCAGGACGATCAAAATCCCACCCATTAAAAATGGGGTAGACCAAAATCCCGGGTCGTTCACGGATCCCACCATGCTGGGATCGGCTCGAAGTAAGATGGGGCTCATAAGTTGCAGTATTATTGCCGTGTTGGGGTCGTCTTCAGGTCATCTTGAGATCATATCCCGGTCATGTTTGGATCACGCAACCATCGCGTGATCATGATGAGGCCACCCTGGGTGCGCTTGGATCCATCTTGTTGCCATCGGGCCATCTCGGCGTCATGCGTTGCTCATGTGTTGCGTCATCTGCGAGTCGGCCTGACACGGTCCAGAATCCATGGCGGGATCGCGTTGGGGTGGCATCATCCTGGGTCCTCTGGACGTTATCGTCCGTGGCCTGAGGCATTCCTGGAAGCATGTTGTGGCCATGGGACGTCTTGGGATCGCGTGCGTGCGAACGCTGAGCACGCGCGCGCGACTTTTCATCTTGCCGACGGGTTTACATACATATTATTCCTCTTGCGAGTTTCCAAGGAAACTTTTGTTGGAGCCAAGTAGGGAGCGCCACCGAAGGTCCCAGTGCTACCGTCCGCATGCGTCCCGCACACCCAGTACAGCGTTTCGTGGCCCCATTGGGAGCTCCACCGAAGGTCCCAGTGCCACCGTCCGCATGCGTCCCGCACACCCAGTACAGCGTTTCGTGGCCCTGCTCCCCCTCCTCCCTGCGTTTCACCCACCCAGTACAGAATTCGTGGCGCCATAGGGAGCCCCACCGAAGGTCCCAGTGCTACCGTCTGCATGCGTCCTGCACACCCAGTACAGCGTTTCGTGGCCCCATAGGGGGCCCCACCGAAGGTCCCAGCGCTACCGTCCGCATGCGTCCTGCACACCCAGTACAGCGTTTCGTGGCCCTGCTCCCCCTCCTCCCTGTGTTTCACCCACGCAGTACAGCGTTTCGTGGCCCCATAGGGAGCTCCACCGAAGGCGCGAGTGCTTCTGCCCGCATGCGTCCCGGAAGCCCAATTTGGCATTTTCACCCACGCAGTGCAGCGTTTCGTGGCCCCATACGGGGCTCCACCCAAGGCCCCAGTGCCACCGTCCGTATGCGTCCGGGAAATGTAATTTTGGCATGTTCACCCGCGCATTGCAGCGTTTCGTGGCCCCATAGGGGGCTCCACCGAAGCTCCCAGTGGGACCGTCCGCATGCGTCCCGTTTACCCAATTTGGCATTTTCTCTCACTCAGTAGAGCGCTTCGTGGCCCCATAGGGAGCTCCACCGAAGCCCTCAGTGGGACCGTCCGCATGCGTCCCGGAAACCCACTTCGGCACATCAACCCACACAGTACAGCGTTCCCCCCCGCCCAGTGCAGCACTTCGTGGCCCCATAGGGAGCTTCACCGAAGCAGATATTCACAATTACAGTACCCACAACTGCATATGGTTGGGACCTTCGCCAGGATAATTTCTCGGGACTGTCTGGTCGTCGCGGGTTGTACCTGGATGGTCTCGGGGCCAGAGAAAAATCCTCTCGGGCTAATGCTCCCGAACTAGCTCTGCCAACGGGATAATCGCATTCTGTGTATTGATGGATACGCTTTCGATAAGTTGGTTTCCAGCTGTTTCCTCATTGCTCGGGCCCCCGTCTCCTCAAGCAAATCCAATGCCGAGCTTTGCCGCGTTACGCTATATCATGCCATTGTATGCTATGGCACTGCTACTTCTTGCTAACACTTTGCTATCAAAGGCCGTGGCATGACATTCCGTGCTATGCTTATGCGATGCTAGGCACATTCTTTGTTATAATGTGTAAGCTCTACGCCATGCCATGCTCTGCCAATGCTGTTCTATGATGTGAGTGGTCTACAATGCTATGCTATGCTAGTGCTGTACTGTAATATACAGTCCGCGCACATGCATACTTCCGACGCTATGTCATGCTATGCCGTGACGTTCCAATGCTACGCCGTTCTATGTTGTTGTAGTATTATGCGATTCTAACGTCACGCTGTGTTATACAATGATTTGCTGTGCTGTTCGAGTTTGACCTTAGACCAATGCTAGGCTACGGACATACTATGCGACGCAACCCTAGACGCTTCGAGTACCCCCTCCAGCCCAGGGAGGAGGGAAAGAGGAAACGGAGGGGGGGGGACCTGGGGACCTCCAGTGGCGCTGGTGGGCGGGCTGCCACGCCCATGGCCACCTCGGCGCCGCGAGCCGGCGTCGGGACCCCAGCTCGTCCTCGAAGAGCTCCTCCCGTTTATTTTTGTTCCGCTGGGAGGGGGGGCGATCATGAGGGAGATGGGGATGAGGGGGGTGGGGGCTGGCGCTTCCGCTCAGGGGGGGGAAGAACGAGGATGAGGGAGGTGAGGATGAGGGTGAGGTGGGGTGCCTTCCGTCACTGGGATGCTGATGGTGATGATGATGATGATGATGATGAGGAGGAGGATGATGATGCTGATGCTGATGCTGATGCTGATGCTGATGCTGATGCTGATGCTGGTGATGATGCTGCTGCTGATGATGATGATCATGATGATGGTGGTGGTGGTGGTGGTGGTGGTGGTGATGATGATGATGATGATGATGATTAGATGATGATGATGAGGAGGAGGAGGAAGAGGAGGAGGAGGATGAGGAGGAGGAGGAAGAGGAACAGGGAGGAGGAGGAGCACGGATGAGGAACAGGGAGCATGAGGAGTAGGAGGAGGAGGAGGAGGAGGAGGAGGAGGCCCGCGGAGCGCCGGCGGAGGCCCCGGGCCCCAGCCACCCGAGAGGCAACCCCGAGGCGAGCAACAACCTGGCGACGCTGCACGCCCAGAGCGGGGAGGTGCGCTGCGCGGAGGGCGGGAGCGCCGTGGTCGGGGTCGTCGTCGGGGTGCTCGTCGTCCCTCGTCTCGCCTTTCTTCATCCTGGCTGCAGGGATACCTCCGTTCTGTGTGCCGAAGGAGTGCCTTGGCCCATTCACGTGCGAATTGCACCGCAGGTTTGCTCACACGAGGAGTGTCAGAGATTGGCACATCTTGACTCGTGTTCCTGATGAGACCGCCGCCGCCGCCGCCGCCCTACAATCTGTTTTCCTTATGAACAGCACCTCCTGTCGCACCCCAGGCGCGTCGGGCGGGCGGGCTGGGCGTTTCGCCTGATACTGTCTCACCTCTTCAGGTGCTGAAGGGTGAGTTTTTGCAGCAGTTGCAATGATTGGGCACAAGTCGTTTTGAAAATGTGGCGCTCGCCTGAGTGCCGCGCACATTCGTATTCAACGCTCGCGACAGCTTGAGGGATGGAACACAGGTCGTTTGCGAAATGTGGCTCCCGCCCTAGCGCCGCGCACATTCGTTTCAACAGTTTGCAACAGTTTCAGAGATGGAGCGGTGGTCGTGTTCAAAAAGGGGCTCTGGCCCTAGCGCCGCGGACACTCGAATTAACCGTTCGCAACAGCTTCAATGAATGAGGGCGGCTCCTTTTCAAAATGTAGCTTTCGCAGCAGCGCCGCGCACATTCGTCCGAAACGTTTGCGGCAGGTCCACAGGTGAAGCACAAGTTGGTAAGACGTGTGTTCTCGCCTCATTGCCGCGCGCATTCGTGCCAATATCTTGCAACAGTTAAAAGTATGGAGGACGTTTTCTTCTTTTGTATTGTGTTTGCCGGTTTGCTGTTTCGAGAACAGGGTCCCGCGTGAGACATCATCCGCTTCAAAAGCCCAGCTTCATCACATGTATCATCGCACGCATAGATGGCGGCTTATTCTCAACCATCCTGTGGTGTTGGATCCTCGTTTTGAAGAGGCAGCGCCCCGCGTCTCCTCTCCTCTCCTCCTCGCTCCCCTTCATCCTCCGATTCCTGTCTTTGCCTTCCGAACCAGCCAACCATTTTGGCACACCCCACACGTTTCGTGGTCCCACAGGGAGCCCCAGTGTCAGCGTTCGCATGCGGCCGCCGCGCCCATTTTGGCACACCCATCACACATTCTGTGGTCCTGCAGGGAGCCCCACCGAAGGGCCAAATGCTACACGTTTCGTGGCCCCAGAGGGAGCCCCACCGAAGGGCCCAAAGCTAGCGTTCGCATGCAGCCACCAAGCCCATTTTGGCACACCCCTCACACGTTTCGTGGCCCCACAGGGAGCCCCACCGAAGGCCCAAATGCCAGCGTTCGCATGCGGCCACCGCACCCTTTTTGGCAAACGCCTCACACGCTTCGTGGCTCCATAGCGAGCCCCACTGGAGGACCCAATGCCAGCGTTCGCATGCGGCCGCCGCACCCATTTTTGCACACCCCTCCCACGTCTCGTGGCCCCGTAGGGAGCCCCACCGAAGGCCCCAATGCCAGCGTTCGCATGCGGCCGTCGCGCCCATTTTGGCAAACCCTTACGTTTCGTGGCCCCACAGGGAGCCCCACCAAAGGCCCCAATGCCAGCGTTCGCATGCGCCCACCGCGCCCAATTTGGCACACCTTTCACACGTTTCGTGGCTCCACAAGGAGCCCCACCGAAGGCTCAAATGCCAGCGTTCGCATGCAGCCACCGCGCCCATTTTGGCACACCGCTCACACGTTTCGTGGCCCCAGAGGGAGCCCCACCGAAGGCCGAAATGCCAGCGTTCGCATGCACCCACCGCGCCCAATTTGGTACACCCCTCACACGTTTGGTAGCCCCATAGAGAGCTCCTCCGCTCCGAATGCGGTGCATACAACGACGGTGTTCACAACTGCATATGGTTGGGTCCTTCGCCATGCTAATTTTTCATGGACATCTCGCTTGAGAGTTCCTCGGATCGAGAAGTTCATGACGGCAACTGTGAACTTGTGCAACTGTTTCACAGATATGGGGCAGTCCTGGCAGTCCTGTCTCGAAAAGGGGATCTTTCTGCGCACTAGGTTGCCGCGTTTTCCATTACTCGCCAGAAGGATGCAAGGCATTTTGTGTTTTTTAGTTGTGTTTTTTTGTATTTAAAAAAAGAGCCCTCGCCAACATCGCAAACCCACGTGGCGTGGATTCTTTAAGGGGGGCGCCCCTTACAGAGAAAGGCTTGTAGGGGCGCATGAGGAGGGGACTTGGTGCACCTTGGGCTTGCTCTGGTCCTCCTCCCTCGCTCCCTCCCTCCCTCCTTCCCCTCCCTCCCTGTGGGGAGGGGGTCATAGTGGGCGATCCGAAAGGAACTCGCGAAATCCCCTCCCCAAAGCGGCTCTCGCCGAGGCGAGGTCGCCACTATGCACCTGCATTCATTGCGAGCAAACCGCAGGTATCCATTGGCCATATTAGAGGGGAGGCGGAGGTTTCAGCTTTCAGGTCGGGCGGGGGAGCAGCCAGTCACGTTTGTTAGAACTGTGGCCCGCGTGTACGCACAGCGCCCTACCTCGGGACTGTCAGCTACTTGATGGGGCCCTTCGCTGGGGCACTCAAGGTTTTGAGACACAATGCAGACCCGCTGCATTTTTTGCAGATACCGTTGCACGACCAGTTGCCAAGGGATCAGCACTGTCGGACGGGGAGGTTGGGTAGAGTCAGTGAGAGTAGCCGCCTGCCTCCTACGATGTCTCTCGCCCGCAGCCTGCCTGCATGCGCCGCCATCCCTGTCTCTCGGCACAGTCCACATACCTCGTTGTCTCTCTTTGAAAGATGGCAAGGGATATCAGGGTGCTGCCAGTGAGAGTCCAGTCATGTTGTGTGCAAAGCGGATGTGTCCTGTGCAGCTGACGGCCGACGTGGTGTCGGCGGCCGAGCAGGCGGTCGATCCGTGAGGGGAGGGGGCCATAGTGGGCGCTCCGAAAAGAACTCGCGAAGCCCCCTCCCCAAAGCGGCTCTCGCCGAGGCAAGGTCGCCATTTCTGTACCTGCTCATTTCGTGAACAACCCACGGTCGTCGAGTTTGCGAGGTTAGGGAGGAGGTGGAGGTTTTCAGGATCGTGCGGGGGAGTCAGTCACTGTCTGTCAAGCCGAGGCCCGCGTGCGTGGACATGCGCGTCACTTTGCATTGTCAGCTGCATGAGGCATTCAAGTTTTTGACACATAGTGCAGACCTGCCGCATGAGTCTGCAGATGTCATTGCACGACTGGCTTTCGAGGGATTAGCGCCAGCCGTGGATAACGAAGGGCAGCCGCTTTCACACTTATAGCCTGGAGCTGCAGTCCCCGTCCCCGCGGCGATGGCTATACGCCAACGCGTACATGTCAGTGACGAACAGGGTAGAGGGGAGGGTTCAGAGAGAGATACCGCCTGCCTCTCCTGCTCTCCCGCCCGCGGCCTGCGTGCGCCGCCGCGCGCTCTCTCACTCGTCGCCGTCGCCATCACCAGAGGTGCCCCCCGCTCGAATATACGGGCACATTCGCACACCTGGGCCCGCGGGGGGCAGCGGTCAGGGGGCCCGGTGAGCGTAGTCCGTAGCTAACCACACACCCATTGCGTGTGGCACCGGACCCCCGAGCTGCGCGCGCCGCGGTTCGCCAGTGCTCGCGCATCTGCTCACCGCGGCGCCAGCGAACTTTGCATTTTGCATAAGCAGTTCTGATGTAGCAGGGTGAGGACCGAGGATGGGGGAAGGTTGGGTTGTCATGAAGGGTTTGCCCACCTTTTGTCCCTCCCTGCGCGACGAGGCGCAGTTTTTCTGGCAGAGCCAGGACCGCCTGCCGTGCCTGTCTGCTACCGCCGTTGCGACGCAGCGCTGACCACGGTTTAAGTGCCTTTGAGCACCGTGCAGTGTCACTTCGAGCACCGTGCAGTGTGCCTGACGCTATAGTTGTGGAGGTGGGGTAGGCATGCTATGGGAGGTGGGGAGGAGCTATTGTGCTGTACTTGTTCACTTGGTGCCCGTGCAGCTCTTTTAAGTCTGCTAGTTGCAGCGCCGCTTTTCTCTGACCGTCGCCAGGCGAATCAGACGCGCAATCCAAATCCCCTCCCTCCTTCCCTCCCTCCTTTCTGGGTGCGAAAGCGTCGTGGTCTTTGTCAGCGGCGTCGGCGTCGGCGTCGACGTTCTCGTCATCGTCGATGTCGTCGTCGTCGTCGTCGTCGTCGTCGTTGTCGTCCTCGTCTTCGTCGTCGTCGGCGGGCGAAGAGGATGATGAGGATGGGGATGGAAAGGAATGAGGGGAAGGAGGGGCGGGGACGGGCAGGGTGACGGGGAGGTGGAGGACTCGACCCGACCTCTCTTTCGATCGCTCCGCCCGCGAGGATGAAACATCAGGAGTCCTTGCGAGCTTGTTCGCGCGCCGGGATCTCATCGCGGTTCAGATGCTCCAGGGGAGAAGGGGGGCCCTCCAATCAAGGCTTCCAGCGAAGCGAACGCAAGAAGGGGGGAGGATGAGCAAGAGCTGGAGGAGGAGGTGGAGGAAGTGGAGGAGGAGGTGGAGGAAGAGGATAAGGATGAGGATGAGGAGGAGGAGGAGGAGGAGGAAGAGGAACAGGAGGAGGATGAGGACACATTATCATATTAATGACAAGACGATAAGAAAACTAATATTAATAATAATGAGAAAAGAATAACAATACTGAGAATAATAACAATGCGAATAAACACAAGAAGGCTAGTAATAATACGAATGATATTGTTAATAATACGAAGAGTAAAACTACAAATGCGAAGAAGAGTAATGATAAGCAGAAGGGTAAGCATAAACATACCAATATGAATAGTTATAATAAAGGATAAAACAACAAATCATAGGAACAATGATACTAGGAAAAAGAATACGAGTCATACTGACAATACTAATGATGCTACTACTACTACTACTACTACTACTACTACTACTACTACTACTACTACTACTACTACTACTACTACTACTACTACTAATATTACTAATATTACCAATACTGAAACCAATGCAATTAATAATTCTAATAATCATACTAATTATAATACTACTAATAATCGTAGCAATAATAATTTTGAGCATGGTGATAGTATTGATAAACATAGTAAAGGTAATCGCAATAATAATACTATTACTTATAATAATAGTATTCATAATGATTTTACCAATCCTATCAGTACGAATACGAATGCGAATGTTAAATTAAAAAAAATATTTATCATCTTAATAATTATGAGAAGAATAAACATAAGACGAATCAGCATAACATACATACTTATAATACTGATAATAATAATACTAAAAGGAATTGCAATACTAATAATACTAAGAAATAATAATAGTAACAATAATATCACGAATAATATTTATACTAAAATAGTAAGACTAATACGAAGAATACGAACAAGCAGACACATAATAAACATACGAAGAAGGATGATGCTAACAAGACGAACAATATTAATACTAAGGAGACTCATGATATGAAGAATACGAATCATAGTAATACTAGTTATACCAGTATTAGTAATACAAATACTACTACTACTAATACTACTATTAATAATACCAATAATAGTCATACTAATAATAATAAAAATAGTAATGATAGTGGTACTACTAGTAATAATAATACTACTGATACTAATAATAGTAATGCTAATACTAATATAACTAATACTAATAATCATAATACTTATAACAATGTTATTAATAATCATTACTAATAATACTAATAATAATATTCATACCACTAGTATTAATAATAACAATACTACTAATACTAATAATACTAATACTAATACTACTAAGAATAAGAATAATAAGAATTATAATAATAATAAGAAGAAAAATTAGAATAATAATAAGAAGAAACAGAATAATAATACGAAACATACGAATAATAATAATAAGAATATTAAGAATACTAATAATACAAAAAAGAATAAGAATAATAATAATATTCATAAGAATAATAATAAGAATAATACCAATATAAGAAACTAAGAATAATAATAATAGTAATAAGAATACGAAGAAGAATAATAATAATAAGAGGAAGAAGAATAATAACAAGAAAAAGAAGAATACTACTACTAATAATAATAAGAAGAAGAATAAGAATAATAATAATTATAAGAATAATGAGAATAATAATCATAATAAGAATAATAAGAATAATAATAATCATACTAAGAAGAATAATAAGAATAAGAAGACTAATAAAAATAATAAGAAGAATAATAAGACGAATAAGAAGAATACGAAGACGAATAATAATAAGAATAATCATACTCATAATTATAATAATAAGAAGACTAATAAGACAAATAATAAGAATAATAATAATAAGAATACTAATAATAACAATAAGAAGAATAATAATAATAATAATAAGAATAATAAGATGAATAATAATAATAAGAATAAGAAAAAGAGGAGGAGGAGGAGGAGGAGGAGGAGGGGAGGAGGAGGGGGAGGAGGAAGGAGGAGGGGAGGAGGAGGAGGGTGGGGGAGAGGAAGAGGAGGGAAGAGGACAGGGAGAGGAGGGGGAGGAGGCTCTATAGCAGGGACGCGGCGCGCGGGGCTTTTGGGCCCCCGCGGGCTTTTGGGCCACCGCGCAGCAGCAGCCACCGCCTTCGATGTCGTGAGCGGCGGGGCGCTGCTTCCGCGCGAGCTTCGCCAGCCGGGCTTGCGGCTTTCGGCGGCCTCGCGGGGCCGCGCGCGGCACGACCGGCGGCAGGAAGCCAGCCGGGGCTCGTCGGCCGATTCGAGCGGCCTCTCGCCTCGTTGCTGCGCCCCAGGGGCACCCTCCAGCACCATCTCAAGCCCGCTGGGCCCCGAGGAGGCGGGGGGGAGGCAGAGGTGGACGGTTGGGGCGCGGGGGATGGGGTGCCAACGCGTGACGGGCGGTCCGCTCAGGGAGGGCGGGGGCGTTTGGCGAGGCAGAAGGCAGCGGAACGAAGACGCGGGACAGACCGACGCAGACGCCCCCCCGCCGCCTCGTGTTTCTTTTTTTTTCTTTATTTATTAGTTTATTTATTTTTTTTCCGTTTTTGTTTCTCCTCACTCCTCCCGCCCTCCCCTCCCCTCCCTCCCTCCCTAACCTCCGCCCTCCCCCTTTGCCTCCGCCTCCTCCCTCCTCTCATCCTCCCCTTCACCCTCCTTGTCGCCTCCGCCTCCTCTCCCTCCTCCTCCCTCCTCCTCTCCTCCCTTCTCTCTCCCCCTTCCCCTTCCCCTGCATCCTTCACCTCCTCCTCCTCTCCTCCTTCTCCTGCTCCCTCCTCCTCCTTTTATCCTCTCTTCCTCCTCCTCCCTCTACTCTCCTCTCCTCCTCCTCCTCCCTCCTTCCTCTCCTCCTCCTCCTCCTCCTCCTTTCCTCCCCCTCCCCTCCCTCCCCCTCCCCCTCCTCCTCCTCTCCTCTCTCCTCCTCTTCCTTCCTCGACCACCTCTCCCTCCTCCTCCTCTCTCCTCCTCGTCTCCTCCTCCTATCTCCTCCTCCTCGTCCTCACCCGACGGGCACGGAAGAAGCGTGCACTGGCAGAGGAGGAGGAGGGAGGGGGGAGGAGGAGGAGGAGGTGGAGGAGGAGGAGGAGGGGGAGGAGAGAGGCAGGAGAAGGAGGAGGAGGATAAGGAGGTGAGAGGAGGAGGATGGAGGGGAGGAGAGAGGAGGAGAAGGAGTGCAGGCGGGGCCGTTGAGTTGCAGCCGGCCCCCTCCGCAGGTGGAGCGGGCGGTCGAGATATGGGCGGCCCTCGCAGAGGAGTGCCCTCCGCTTCGGCCTCGTTGGTCTGAGGCATGCTGGGCACAGCACTGCGGTTGGCGTCGTAAAGATGGCGTGCGATGTGGCGCCACTGGCCCGCTTCTTACACGTTATCCCCGGCCTTGGGGATAGCATGCACCGAAGAAGCCCTGGCAGGGGGATGGCGTGCACAGACGAGGCCCTCGCAAGAGGATGGCCTCCGCAGGGATGGCGTGCACAGAGGACGCCTTATTAAGGGGGATCGCGTGCGTTTCGGAGATCGGTGTTGCACGCTATCTTTGCGACGCCAACCGTACGTGCAGTGGGCTTATGTGTCAACGTGTCGTTTGACATGCGTCCCTCCTGTATATGGTGATCAACGACGGTCTCGGCGACTGCTGGGCGTCAGAGTGCATTATTCAGTAGTCTGGTTCAATGCCAAGCCCCTGAGTATCATCACCGCGTCTGCATCGTATGGTCAGGCACCCTAACTGGGGTTCTTGCGTATTCCAGTCCCACCACGGCTTCTCGTACACTCTTCTCGGAGGTTGCGCCTTGTAGTCTGGTGTTTGCACTCACTGTAGGGTGTTGGGCCTGCGTTATCCGTTTTTATTCCCTCGTCGTCATGCTTTCCTTGGTGGCTCCACTGTTGACGGCGCCCGACAAGCAATGGGGTGGAAGTGGGCTCTGCACGCCTAGTGGGGAATTGCAGCCCTCGCGATTTCGAGTTGAGAGCATGCAGTTACGCTGCCGCGCATGCCTGCCATCGCTCTGTTGCGCGGCCCAACCGGGTTGAACTTACCAGGGAAAAGGATATTTTCGGGTCGTCTTGGGGGGGGGGGGAGGCGAGCTCCCGTGCCCCCCGTCGACTTCCCCTGGTGGCATTTTGGCTTGTCTCGCGGGCGTGTCGGGCCGCTCTGGGCGGGCATTCGTCCCCGCTTGTCTTTCGACGGGCTCCAGGGCCTGAAACGGGCTCCAACGGCCTAAACAAGCTTGGGTCGTCGTCGTCGTCGTCGTCGTCGTCGTCGTCGTCGTCGTCGTCGTCGTCGTCTTCCCGCGAGGAGGGGGAGCCCAATGCGCAGTGCAACCTGGGGATGTGCTGCCTGCGAGGCGTGGGCCGCCCGCAGGACCCCGGGGTGCCCCCGCGCCGAGGGGGAGGGCGGCAGGCAGGAGGAGCAGGGAAGGCGAGGAGGGCGGACGGCGGAGGGGAGGAGGGCGCGGTGGGGAGGAGGAGGGGGGTTGAGGGTGGGGAGTGAGGGAGGGAAGGACGGGTTGAGGGGGGTTGAGGGTGGGGAGGACGGGTTGAGGAGGGTGGGGAGGAGGAGGGGGGTTGAGGGTGGGGTTGAAGGACGGGTTGAGGTGTGGGGAGGAGGGAGAGAGGGGGGTTTGAGGGTGGGGAGGACGGCAGGCAGGAAGAGGGCGGACGGCGGTGGGGTGAGGCGGTGGTGGTGGTGGTGATTAGTGGTAGTGGTGGTGGTGCTGGTGCTGGTGATGGTGATCGTGGTGGTAAGGAGGAGAAGGAGGAGGATGAGGAGGATGAGGAGGATGAGGAGGATGAGGAGGAGGAGGAAGAGAAGGAGGAGGAGGCATGGAGGGGAGGATCGGATCGGATCGTCTATCCACGACAGCAAGGTGCACGATCTTGACAGCCCGGAGCGTGCAGCACTATATGTAGCACCACGGCCCAGCAGAGGGAGAAGAAGGAGGATTGAGGCAGGGGAGGGTGATGAATCATGATGATAAGTATAATGGTTGTGAGGATCGTGATGTTGATGGTCCTGGTGATGGTGGTGGTACGGAGGAGGAGGAGGAATAATGATATTTGTATTCGTAATACTGATACTACAGAATTTACACTAAGCGTACGACTAATAGCAGGATCAGTATGATTAAGACGCATCACACTATTAGTACTAGTGCCAACACTAAGACTACGAGCAATAATAACCCAACGACGGAGCAAATGAATCATACTAAGAATACGCAGGCGAATACTACTACGAACGAGCATAATATTACGACGAATACGACAAACAATGACACCACTAATAATACGACGAAGCCGACTAAGAACATTACTAGTAACACGTAATGCGAATAGCAACACTACTAAGACACATCAAGCTACTAATACTTCTGATACTAGTAAGAAGACTGAGAATACTGAAA